CAGTACAGCTTCTTTCCACTAGGCCACCATAGTTCCCCTCCCTTCATCGCTCTTAATGGACACTTAACACCCTTTCATCAGTGGCTCCCTCTTCCTTCTTCCCCCTCCCCTGCTCTGGCCTCCTCTCACCTGCTCTATGTCTCTATGCGTTTGCTTGTTTTAGAGATTTCCTGTAAATAGGATCAAGCAGTGTTTGTCCTTCTACAGCTGATTCCCCCCACTCAGCAACCCATGTCCAAGATTCATCCGTGTCACAGCATGGAGGAGGGCTTGCCTGTCTTTGTGGGAGACTAATACTTCAATGACTGATACTCTGCTTCCTGGGGCTGCTGGGGCAGAGACGCCACAGTGGGGGGTGGGGACTCACACGAATGTCTCCTCTCTTGGTCCAACAGGTCAGAGTGGCTCCAGCTTTCAGGGAGCGCTCTCTCTCGCGCTCTCTCTCTCTCCTGGCTCACTCTTTAGGAATGAGGTCTTGGAAATTTCCACGTGGCTGACAGCAGTCTGGCCCTAGGTCTAGGAGGTTCTCAGCATGGGGGACCTGGTTCTTTCTTCTTTCATGGTGATGTTGAGCTCCATCCCTCTGTGCTCATGTCTCTCTCCTTTCACTGCTCTTAAAATAAAAGATAATGCTGACCACAGTGCACGGGGACACCCCTAACACCAGGTCAGGGACGTAGTGGGGTTATTAATTAATCTCCATTAATTAATGGCCGCCCTTAATCCTTCTACACCCAATGGGCTGACCACATCAGGCCCCACCATGGCCAGGTCGTCCACAATGCTGCAGGAAGTCATTGCATTCCAAACAAACATCGAGGCTCCTGGCCCAGCTACATCGACGTGTATTTTTGGGGGGGGGCTCATGAGTCCCTTCATGACATGAATGTACCACAGTAAAATATGTCTGCAAAAACCCACGGTTCACACCCATGTTTATAGTGGCTTTGTTCACAATAGCAAAGAGTTGGAAACAACCTAAGTGCCCATCAACAAACGAGTGGATAGAGAAGCTGTGATATATCCACACAATGGAATACTACGCTGCATTGAAAAACAAGGAACTCATGCAATATTATTCAAAATGGGTGATCCTGGAGGACATTATGCTGAGTGAAATACCTCAGTCACAAAAGGACAAATCCTGCATAGGGCCACTGGTGTAAAACGGGACTGACATCAGGGTTGAGGGGAGACTGAGAAAGATGGGATGAATTATGTATACCGCATTGAAACAGATAAGAGAGAGAACTGTTTAAAAGGTATATATGATTAGGTATTATTGTTATGACAGGAGTCCAGAGCAAAGGCTGCATAGTGGAGTGGACTTGGAGGAAGGGATTGGATGACAATGAAAGAAATTTTTTTTTACTTTTCAAAGAGAAGAATGAACTGGAGGGGAGGGGTGGGCAGGGAGAAAAGTACAACAATGAATAGAAATCCAAAATATCTGTAAATTTTCATTAAAATTAATAATAATAAAAATAAAAAAGTATATATATAAACCCCAAAGAAACCCAGGGCTCAAAATATAGCTTTGATGGTGAATTGAGGAGGAGGGAGGGGAGACGGCCAAAGCAAGGAAGTCAGCAAACCCAGACTGTTTCTCTCCTCATCTGGGCCTGCACCCACTTCTGCCAAGTTGCTCACACATGTTGGCTCTCCCCGGCTGCTGGTCTCGCCCATGACCCAGAGCAAGCCAGTTCTGGTGCCACTTCTCGAAGGCTGAGGGGTCTCCGGTGGGACAGCAGTGAGTCTGCTTTAAGATCTTGACCTTGACTTTCCCCCCTTGACCTTACTCTCTGTGTCTGCCCGCACCAGAGCCCATGACAGAAGCTACAGACATGCGGGAGGCTATGGAAGTGATGCCCGAGATCCTGGAGTATGGCGTTATAAATGCCAGCGTACTGCTCTACCTGAAGAATGTTCTCGGCCAGGTAAGCGTGGACGTGGCAAGATATCAGCATTTTAGGGACGTGGGCTCAGGATTCACTTATTCCTCTAAGGTTGAGCTGACATATTGGGGCTTTGATGGCCAAGTGGGGACCAGGATAGAGGTGAGCTTGCACCCTCGAAGCTCACAGTTGGGGCAGAACCAGGAAAAACAAGTACACACTGCTCTCACACTGGGGCTGGTCCACTTGAACCACTAACATTATGATTGGCAGCTCAGCGCTTACCCTAGAGCACCACCAGGCTCCCTGGGTACTTGTCTTAGGGGAGTGGCTAAAATTCTTACCCTCAGATCACCTTGGAAGGACCTCATCCTCATTGATTCTACCCAGTGGGATTTCCACAGCTGTCAGCTTTCTGGGAGACACACTGCTGCATTGTTCCTCACAGGGCGGTGGGTGGGTTCAAACTAGCGACCTTTTGATTTAGTGGCTGACTGCTTTAACTGTGACACCACCAGGGCTGGATTACCTGGGTAAAAACTCGTGGCCGTGGAGTTTATTTTGACTCCTAGCCTTTCTCTATTGGGCTTCTGAAGGTGGGAATCATGGGAAGAGAATGCCTCTTTTCTCACACAGAGAAAGAGGTGGGTTTGAAGTGCCCACCTTTTGGTTTATAGCCCAAACCCTAAGAAATTGCCAGAGCTCCTTGTATCTGGTATAACTGCTCCCCCTTTGCCTCTGTGCTCGGGGGCTGATGCAGTGACACTGTCCCCACCGCAGCCCCTTGGAATGTATAAAACGAGAGGCACTTGAGAACAGGTCTCCCTGAGAATGGTGTGGGATGAACTTGGCATTGCAGGTGTTCCTCCAGGCTCTGTCCTTCAATCAGCACAAGCTGGGTTCAAGCATGGGCACGCTGGAGATCTCTGCATCTTCCATGTATGAGTTCAACCTCCCCTCCATGCCGGGGGAGGCAGTGGAGTACCACAGCGTGCAGCTGATACGGGACGAGTTCCTGATGAACATCCACAAATTCATAAGTCACATCCAGAGGACCATGCAGCAGCTTGAAGGTGAGGTGTCATCCCTGCGCCACTCCTCTCCCCCCCCAAAAAAAATCTCAAGCCAGGCCCGTGGCCACTGAGTTGACCTCCATTCAGAGTGACCCTATGGGACTCAATCTTTATGAAAGTGGAATGCCTCACCTTTCTCCCTCGGAAGGGTGATGGTTTCAAACCACCAACCTTTCAGTTAGTAGTCATGCTGCATAACCCCTGGGCTACCAGGAAATACAATGACTTTAGGAAAGCGGCGGAGGACTTGAGCTTTCCTGTTTTGATCTGTGATGAAGCTTGGAACTGTGTGCTCATGGGTGGACAAGGTGGCCCTGGGACGAGGGATGGACCCGCTGGCTCTGGTTGTTCCAGGGGAGATCAAGTTGGAGATGCCCAGCGTCAGTGTGGAGGGAGAGGTGTCTGAGCTGGCCGCTGACCAGGAGACAGTGGAAATCCTGGAGCAGTGCGTCATCAACTGGCTGAATCAGATCTCCACGGCTGTTGAGGACCAGCTGAAGAAGACCCCCCAGGTTAGAGAGGCATGAAGTCCGTCAGTTTGTGCTTGGGACGCTGGGCACTGTTTTGGAACTTCATCAGAGATGGACGCAAACACAATGGCCATCTGTTGTTGGGGCTTCTGTGGTTATTGTGTCTCTTCATTTTCTAACGCTGTTATCACAAAGATCAAAAGGGGGTGGCTTTAACGAACAGAAATGTACTCCTTTGAAGTTTAGGACGATAGAAGTCCAAACTGAGTGCCTGTTCTGGAGGAAGGCTTGCTTTCTGTGTCGGCTGACAGTGTAGGAGGGAGGTCCTCATCTCCTCTCAGCATTTGGGGGCCAGCGTCCCTCAGGGACCCCCATGTATCTTAGCATCTGTTTTCCCCTGGGTCTAGGAGATGCTCAGCACAGGGACCCTGGGTGCTCTGCCCCCAGCTCCTTTTTCTTGCTGTTTCTGGGTTCTCTCTGACCTCTGCTTGCTCATTTATTTCATCTCTTCTCGGTCTCAGAGGAGACTGATTGGAGATACAGCCGAGTCCTGTAGCTTGTATCCTGCCTCATTAACCTAATTGCCTTTAATCCTGGCTTACTGATAATGAGAGGTATGAGGGTTTACAACACACATGATAATTACATCGGATCACACAACACTGAGAATTGTGACCTAGCCAGGTTAGGGGACACAGTTAACCCCTAACTACGTGGCAACCAGTTAGTGTCCGAGTTAAAACAGACAACAGTGTTATAATCCAGGTGCTTTGGCTGTGAAGCATAGGGGGTCCAACTCAAATGGCACACAGCAAGGATGCTTGCTTGTTCACATGACGGAGAAGCCCAGAGGCAGGGTTGGCTTCAGGTACAGTTAGATCAAGCTTCCTCACTCTGTGGGTCTCATTTCCTTCCTGGTACCAGCCTTGTAGCTGTTTCTGGTCCCACATTCATGCAGACTGGTGTTAAAAGGAATGCAGTTAGGAGGAGAAGGGTGATGCCCAATCCACTCGGGCAACTGAGCTCTCTGTCTGTGTGCTCCCGGAACCCCCTCAGGGCAATGGCCCCTTGGCGGAAATCGATTTCTGGCGGGAACGGAACGCCACCCTCAGTGCCCTCTGTGAGCAAACGAAGCTCCCAGTCGTCAGGAAGGTCCTGGAGGTCATCAAGGAGTCGGACTCGATGATTCTGGTCAATCTTCAGCCAGTCCTGTCTGAGCTCTTCAAGCTGCACATGGAGTCCTCTGATAACGTGCGCTTCCTCTCCACGGTGGAACGCCACTTCAAGGTGAGTGCGTGCCTCGACCCGTCCACCCTGGCCCTGCCTCTCTCCACGGTGGCCCCCACCTCAAGGTGCAGGTCCTGTCATACCCATCTAGGGAACTCTCATGCCACAGTCCCCAGGGAGCTGTTAAGCCCTAAGTGGTGAAATGTGTTTGGTTTTTAAACATATATATTCATCTTTACACATCTATTGTCTCTTCATTCACACGCTCACACTTTAGAGCGAGGAAAAGGGACCCTCGAGGAGAGGAGCTGACCCCGTCCATGATGCAGTGGTGGGTTTGCGGGTGGCAGAGACCCCGATGCTGAACAGGACAGGCGAGGTTCCCACCTGCTCTTCCTGGGGTCGCCATGAGTCGAGTTTGACCTGAAGGCCCTAACAACGTTGTGGCCACGTCTCCACGTGTGATCCCCTTTAGTGGCCCGTCGTGTCTGTGTTTTGCATCAGCACTGGAGGCCCCGCCACGCACTGCTTCTGTGTGCTAGACCCCGTTCCCTTCTCAGGCCCCCCAGCTCGGGGACGCGGCCTGACTCCTGTCCCCCCTCAGAACATCACGCACGGCACGGGCTTCCACGTGGTCCTGGAGACCATCCCGTCCATGGTGAGCGCCCTCCGCATGGTCTGGACCATCTCCCGGCACTACAACAGGGACGAGCGGCTGATCCCGCTCATGGAGCGCATCGCCTGGGCCATAGCCGAGCGGGTCTGCAAGGTGGTCAACCTGCGGACGCTGTTCAGGTGAGGCGCCGCCCGGCGCTGCGAGCCTCCGCTCCTGGGTTACCGAGACGTTCACGATGCTGGGGCAGTGTGTGATGTGCGGGGCTGCTAACGGGAAGGTCTCTGGTTTGAGCCCACCAGCCGCTCTGCGGGGTAAAGACGGGTGAAGCTGATGGGGACTGTCGTGAATTGGAATGAGCTCAGCGGTGTTGGGTTTGGCTGTGGAACTGAGCCCTCACCTCACGCACCTTACGGGGCACTCATTGAGAAGGCTCAGCTCCGTGGCTTCTAGGGTCTTCTCAAAATTGGGCATCTGTGACCACAGTTTTAACATGTTTTTACCACCCCAGGTAGAACTCTGGGGCCCAGTAGCATTCACCATTGAGACTCCCCATTTTCTATCTTAACCTCCCCAAACACGAACCCACCACCACTGACTCGGTTCTGATGCAGGTGACTGTCCACCGGGGTTCTGAGGCTGCCCATCTTATAAGGAGGAGACCACTGGTGGCTTCGAACCTCCAGAGATGTTCATCCTTCTGTGCCCTCAGCTGTGCCACCAGAGTGCCTTTCCAAACACCCCCCACGCTCACTGCTGGGGTCTTGGTCCTGCCTCACGGGGCCCCTGCACTGGGTCCCCAAAGCTGTAAATGCTGACAGGAAGAGACAGCCCATGTATTTACCAAGGAGTGACTGGTGGATATGAACTAGCAACCTTTTGTTTAGTCATGCACGACACCCCCAAGGCTCCTGTTCTCAAACCCCAGGCAGTCGCTGCCCTGCTTTGCCCCTCCTGGAACCTTCCTGTAGCTGGAATCACACAGCACAGAGTTACAGGGCTCAGCTGCTGGGGGAACCCGGGGCCAGAGAGGGTGGGTGGAAAGCTCCAGCCAAGATGACCCCTATCCGCCATTGCAGTTTGGCCCTGTCCTTGCAAATGACCTCCGAGCAGAGTGGGCTGGGGACCACCCCTCACGGTGACACTTTGTCCACAGAGAAAACCGAGCCAGCGCCCAGCACAAAACGCTGGAGGCCAAGGAAACCCTCATGCTGTGGAAGAAGTCCTACTTCGACGTGCGGGCCAAGATCGAGGCTTCGGGCAGGGAGGCGCGGTGGGAGTTCGACCGGAAGCGGCTGTTTGAGAGGACGGATTACATGGCGAGCATCTGCCAGGACCTCTACGACGTGCTGCAGGTGGGCAGCTGGGACACAGGTGGGGGCCCAGGGGCAGGGGAAGCCAGAACACAGGGGGTGCTGAGGGCCAGCCAGGACCTGAGGGGTGGGGGGCCCAGGGGCAGCCAGGACGCAGGCGGGGGCCAAGGGGCAGCCAGGACACATGCAGGGACCCAGGGGTAACCAGGACACAGGTGGGGGCCCAGGGGCAGGGGAAGCCAGAACACGGGGTGCTGAGGGCCAGCCAGGACGCGGGGGGCGGGGGGGCCAGGGGCCACCAGGACATAGGTGGGGTCCAAGGGGTAGCCAGAACACAGGCAGGGGCCCAGGGGCAGCCAGGATGTGGGTGGGGGCCCAGGGCAGCTAGGATGTGGGTGGGGGGCCCAGGGACAGCCAAGACGTAGGCAGGGGCCAAGGGGCAGCCAGGACACATGCAGGGACCCAGGGGTAGCCAGGACACAGGTGGGGGCCCTGGGGCAGCCAAGACGTAGGTGGGGGCCCAGGGGCAGCCAGGATGTGGGTGGGGGGCCCAGGGGCAGCCAGGATGAGGGTGGGAGGCCCAGGGGCAGCCAGGAAAAAGGGGGTGCCGAAGGGCAGCGTGTCTTCTGTGGCCCCTCTGTATGAGATGTGGGGGCAGGGCCTGGCAGGCCGTGCCTGATGCTGGGGACGGGTTCCCGCCTTGACCCCAGCCTCCGCGGGAGGGCTCCCTGGGTGCACAGATGATGACCCTCTTCGGCTGCTGACGTAACGTCAGGAGGTTCCACCGCACCCCGAGGCACCTGGAAGAAAGGGCTGTCAGCCCACTTCCAAGCACGAGGCGTGGGAACGCCGACACACGGGGGGCCACCACGATCTGACTCAGCTGTGACAGGTCAGGTAGACGGTAGTAGTAATTGTTGTGTAATCATTGAGTCAGAGGCGACCCGTAGCTGACCCTCCAGCAGGTTTTCTGAGGCCGTAAATCACATCTTTCTCCTCCAGAGCAGCTGGTGGATTTGAACCACGAGTCTCTGGGTTGGCAGCACAGCTCCTTAAAACTGAGCCACCAGAGCTCCCTTAGGTCTTAGGGAGACAGTTGGGATTACACATGAAGGTGGGGAAAGGCAGGCCCTCTTTTGTCAGATTTGTTTGGCCTCCCAGTGAGTGACCCTGGAGGACAGAGGAGAACCGTCCCTTTGGGGTTCTCAGGCTGTGATCTTTACAGAAGCAGAAGCCCCGTCTTTCTCCCCGTGGGTTCGACCCTCAGCCCAGTGCTTGCCCTACGTGGTAAGAGGCATGGGATGAGGTCAGAGAAGCAGGCAGGGCCGTGAAGGCAGCGTGGAGCCATCTGGGTGTCCTCCATGGGGTGGACACGTAAGCCGAGGGCTCTGTGCTGGATGCAGGGAGCCTGCGGGACTGGCCACCAGGGCGATGCGGACAGAACATCCGAGCGTCCTCCGCACATCCCAGAGGAGACGGGAAGGCAGCCCCTCCTTGTGTTTCATGTGCTTTGCCGCAGGTGATAGAGGAATTCTATACCATCTTCGGTCCAGAGCTAAAGGCCGTGACCGGAGACCCCAAGCGCATTGACGATGTCCTGTGCAGAGTAGACAGCCTGGTCAGCCCCATGGAGAACCTGACCTTCGACCCCTTCAGCATCAAGTCCTCCCAGTACTGGAAATACGTGATGGACGACTTCAAGATCGAAGTCCTGGCAAGTGGCGCACCCACTGAGGGCACCGTGGAAGTGGGCGCCGTGTGTCGCCTGGATGAAATGTGTGGTGGGGTTAGTTGTGCTTCGGTCAATGTGGGGAGCTCCGGGGGTGCTGACCACGGCACACCGCACTGCTGTCCTGAGGAATGGTCAGTACCCTGCCAGCAGCACCATTCAGAAGCATCAATTCCTCACCAGTCTTCCTGATTCGTTGTGTTAGCTTTGGGGAAGCACTTGAAAAGACCGTGGCTAGCGTCTTCACGCTGATAACTTCTTTCACTCTAAGCTTACTTTAACACACTTGAGAGAGGCCTTTGGGAATAGGTATTTTCCAGTGCAGCGTCTCTTTTGATTTCTTGTCTGCTAGTTCTGTGGATGTTGATGTGGACCCAAGTGGAACGAAATAATTAGCAACATTAATTTTTGTTTGATTTTTTAAAAAATTGTATTATTTTTACGTGTAACATCAAATCAGATCTGACTGGTACAGGCGGAGATTGCCCCTCCTTCTCCAGCAGAGCATCTGGTGGATTCGAACCGTGTACCTCTGGGATTGCAGTGCAGCATCTTGCCACTAGGCCACCAGAGCTCCCTACAATACTAATTTTTTTTTTCTCCAACTATCGTGATTCTGCATATTGGTCCAGTGGGGAGGAGTGTGAGATGTGAGATGTAATCCACATTGAAGGCTGCAGGCTTTGATCTTCTGCAGTTAATACCTCATGACTTCACATTCTGTGACCGAGTATCACGGGAGGGGCAAGCGGGATGAGCAGTGAGCAAATGCGGTGTGTCCACAGCTGGTAACTGGGCACCAGTGTTCCCCGAAACAGCGATAGAAACCCTTCCCATGGATTTGTCAGTTCTGTGTGTTTCTCCTCTGCTTTGTTTTAGAGAAATAACTACATCAGAATGAGGCCTTTTTTCTTGACTTTCTTTTTTTTTCCCTTTTCAGGTTATTGAGAAAGAAGCAAAAAGCTTCATTGACGAGTCTTTCAAGACGCTGCGCTCAGCGGAAGCAGCGTTTGACATGCTGCTGAAGTTTAAGCACATCCGGTCACGGGAGGCGATCAATCGACAGATGATGATGAAGTTCAACGACATCCTTGCCCAGTATTGCAAAGAGGTGGGGGCCGCTGGCGGCCACCTGGGCGATAGAAGCCCTGTTGGCAGAGGGGAGTGCGTTGAATCCCACTGTTGCCCGTCTAAATCCAGGGCAACTCGGATTTCCCCAAGTACTCCTGTCATGTGACACAGATTCTCGAAGCAGTACGGGCTTGTTGATGTGGGGAAATCCAGTAAGAAGTGAATGATTGCTGTGTTACTTACTTTATGTCTTGATCGGCCCCTGAGGTCAGGAGGTTGGAGAAGCCTCGTTTTCTCACACGTCAGCGTATTTCAGGTTGAGACATGGAAGGTTTGTGGCCCCCCTGGGTCAGGCAGGCCCCTTGTCACAGTTTCTCCGGCAGCGTGCTCCCTCTTCATGTTTCCGGTCAGCTGTTCTCACACTCTTTCGGACGTTCTCATCCTCCTCTTGTTGTTTGCTTCCTCCAGGCAGCACAGTGCAGACACAGTGCCTTTCTGTGACTTCCCACTTCACGGGGGTCTTTGCTTCATGGGGGGTGATCCAGAACTGAAGCCGCTGCCTCCCTCCCCGGGTCAGCCTGCAGTGGTAGGAGGAGGCCTAGCTCCGGCCATGAGGAAAGGCACGGCAGCTGTGTGGGGCCGTTGTGTCCATTCTGACTTTTGGTGACCCCTTTGGGACAGTGGAATGGCCTCTCAGGGCTTCCCTGGCACTGATTGCCAAGTTTCTCACACTCGCTGGCAGGTTCTAGCTGCCAACCTTTCCATTTCAACAAGAAGCCAGGCTGGGGGTACAAATGCCAGACTCGAGGCCTGCGGGTGCAGTGCCCTCTATGTCAGGAGGGAGAGGGGTGGACCGACTCCTGGACAGACCTGACCGTGGTCCGCTGTGAGTCAGAACCTAGGTGACGCCAGGGAGCTTGTAGACGCTTGATTTTTTTTAATAAAAAACTCCAAATATGAGGACTTTGATTTTCAACATTCTTGAGCCAATACTGCTATACCGGTAGGTTGAGTAAAGAGATTTTAAATTGGAATCTTAGCAAGTCTTCTGTAAAGATCCCTTCCAGCCCTATTTAATGATTTTGGTGTTCTTCCTTCCTTTCATAAAAATAACACGTATTTGTTATTTGCAGTCATAATTCAATCAGGATGCATCTTTTTCTGGAAACAGCTCCTTAAGGAGAACAAAGTTGAAACTCATTTAATCAAGCCCCCATCTCTCCTTGCTGTAAAAAGTGTTTTGACTTCCCTTTTCTTTGATTTCATGTGTAACAAGGAGTCCTGGTGGCACGGGAGGTTAAGCGTGGGGCTCCTAATCAAACGGTGGACGTTGTGACTCGTGTCTCCTGTCAGTTGATGTTGGAACTCACTCTGGTGTCTGGTCAGGTTTGGTTACACCTAACGGATTACCCAAAAAGGCTTCTTTTAAAATCGGGGTTTCGATCCCGGGTTTCGGCACCAAAAAAAAATCGGGGTGTGGCATTGTTGTGTCCAGGCTGGATTTTAGGCTTTCTGAGAACTCTCTCATAGTGCTCTGGTGGTGCAGCCTGTAGGGCGTTGAGATGTGAACTCAGAGCCAGCACCCTGCCAGAAGTTTGAACCTGTTAGAGACTCCACAAGGGGAAAAATTCAGTCTCCTCCCATGTGATTTACAGCCAGCCCCCAGAAAACCTGAGGTCAGGAGCTTGGCTCTGAGTCAGTTAACTCTATGGAGTTATGAGAGCAAGAATTCAACTCATCATATATACTCCGTGTGCCCAGTTTGCAGGTGTTTAAGGAAATGGACACACCGCTAGGGAGTATTGAAACATGTAGTGCTATGCATCGGAGAATTGGACAGTGAATAGGGATGATAGAAAGAGAATTGATGCCTTTGAGCTGTGGTGCTAGAGAAGAGTGTTGAATATACCATGGACTGCTAGGAGAACAAACAGGTTTGTCCTGGAGAAGGTGAAGCCGGAATGCTCCTTGGAGTCAAGGATTCTGAAGCTTTATCTGACATACTTTGGGCATGTTACAAGGAGGGACCAGTTCTTGGAGAGGGACATCACGTTTGGCAGAGTGGAGGGGCGGCACAGGAGAGGAAGACCCTCGATGAGATGGATCGATTCTATGATTGGGGTGGTGAGAATGAGTGTGTCGGAGACGGTGAGGTTGGCACAGGATAGAACGGCATTTAGGGCTCTTGTCATTATGAGTCGCAAGCGACTCGACGGCACATAACAACAACAACATTGGATAAGGAGAGTAGTGAAAATGGAACTTGGTATCTTAGACTCTATTTTTGGACATGTGCGTGGCCTCCGGGTGTCGGAGGTGGTAAGGACGGTACAGGCTAGTGCAGGTGTCAGATCTGTTGTCCAAAAGGTCATTACGAATAACTGACTCAATGGAACATAAGAACAACAACAACATCCCCGTTCCCTAAAAGGGGCAGACTTGGGGGGCCCGCCTCACCCTGCTCACAGACCACGTCTGTTTGCTTCCAGATCGACATAGTGAACAAGCTGTTTGTGCAGAACTTGGACAACCCACCTCTGTGCAAGAACCACCCTCCGGTGGCCGGTGCCATCTACTGGGAACGCTCGCTCTTCCACCGGATCAAACACACCATCCTCCGCTTCCAGGAGGTGGCGGAGATCCTGGACAGCGACCGGGGCAGGGAGGTGCGTGCTGTGACTGTCCAGGCCCAGAGGCTGCACTGCCTGGGCCACTCGCGGTGGGCCTGCAGCTTTGAGGGCCTTGCCTGTGCTCCCCAATTCTACACTCCTTGCTACGTTTTTTTACCTCTACGATCTTCTCATGGAGGAATCCTTTTTTTTTTAAAAAAAAAAATTGTGCTCCCTTCGGCAGCACATATGCTAAAACTGGAATGATACAGAGAAGATTAGCATGGCCCCTGCGCAAGGATGACATGCAAATTCGTGAAGCGTTCCGTATTTTTTAAAATTAAAGAGACAAGTGGTGCCAATACAATCTAGCCTGTCTCTGCCAAATTAAAATTTGTTAGTAAGTGAATACTCTTATATAATAAATGGGTATTGAAAATTTGGAAAAAAATAGTTGAAAATATACACTGCAAAGCATATACCAATCACACTATTTCTTTCTGTTTCAGAACATTTTTTGTGTGTGACTTGGGTGAAAGTATATATAGAACAAATTCATTTTTCTTCTTTTACAAAATAATTTTTATTGTCATTTTAATGAAAATGTACCAAAAACTTAGATTTCCATTCATTTGTTGTTGCACATTTTCCTCCCTACCACTCCCCGCCCCAAGTTGGCTTTTTTTTTCTCTTGCAGATTCATTTTTCACCTGACAATTCATGCATGTTTTGTTCTGTGACGTTGCTCGTGGTCCCTGCAAGTGACAGCACTCCACCCACTTCCCTCCTGTGCTTCCCATTTCCGTCCCTCCTGCCTCTGCTCTTCCTGACCACACTCTCGACTGTGTGCGGCTGGTTGTGTTCAGGAACGCTGTCGTTTCTGGTGTCTTTATTCACCTTGTGGATGTGTTTGTTGCTTGGTTGAAAGTTGAGCCACGTGAGTTGAGGAGTCCAGTTCCGAGTGTGATGGGCGTCTCAGGTTTTAAGTCACGTCATCATAAACAAAAGGAGCTCTGGTTGTATGATGTCGTAAATGTTGGGCTGTTAACCTTCAGGTTGGTGGTTCAAATCCACTAGCTGTTCCTTGGGAGACAGACGTGACAGTGTTCCAGGAGGAAGAGCGGGCTCGGAAAACCTGCAGGGAAGTTTCCTGGGAGTCAGAATCAACTTGACAACAGTGGATTCCTTCTCAAATCAGTTCTCCAAGATTCACGGGATTCTGTCTACTTCCTCTCCCATAGTGTGTACATGTTTGTTTGTTGTTATGTGCCGTCAAGTTGCCTGCGACTCATAGCGACCCTATGTACAACAGCCCTAAACCCTGCACTGTCCTGTGCCAATCGCATTGCCTCTGACACACCCATCCTGATTACCCCAGTCACTGAATCAATCCACCTCATAGAGGGTCTTCCTCTCCTGCACTGTCCCTCCACTGTCCCTCCACCCTCCCAAGCATGACGTCCCTCTCCAAGGACCAGTCCCTCCTTGCAACATGTCCAAAGTATGTCAGATGAAGCTTCAGAATTCTTGCCTCTAAGGAGTGTACCGATTTAACCCTCTCCAGGATGAATCTGTTTGTTTTCTTGGCAGTCCATGGTACGTTCAATACTCTTCTCCAGCACCACAGCTCAAAGGCATCAATTCTCCTTCTATCCTCCCTAGTCATCGTCCAGCTCTCTGATGCATAGCAAGTGATTGCAAAGATAAAAAATATAAGCGATGTGGAAGTGAGATTTTTCTAGGACCAAATGACTGGCGCTGGACTTTTCTGGTAGGTCAAACAGAAGTACTTGGAGGTGGCCAAGAGGATGAAGGACTATGAGGACCGGAAGTACGAACAGTGGCGAGAGCTGACCGAGCAGGTCCTCCCGAACCTGATGAAGAAGAGTCTGCTGACCAAGGTACGGACTGCTGGATGCAACGGGTGGCGGTCCCCGCTGCTGTCCAGGCTGTCCCCGACTCCCTCAGGCCCAGTGTGTGACGGCACAGAGCTGCGCCAGCCCATGACCAGTCCTCCCATGATAGCTGTGCATCAACCCTCTGCAGTCGGCCGGGTTTCTCTTGACTGGTTTCTGAAAGGCGATCACCAGGCCTTTCTTCCTCATCTCTCTGATTCTGGAAGTGCCTCTGAAACTTAGCCACACACAGCATCTTAGCCACACACAGGCATCCACTGAGACACAGGAGACGCACTGGCCGGGAATGGGACCCGGGTCTCCCTGACCACCACTGCCCTCTGGTCCCAGATCACGGTGGCCTTGGGAGAGGGTGACACCTGTCATTTTCTTGAGGTGTGATGTTATTGACTCTCATTCGGAGAGCTGATGGGTGCTTGAAGCATTGACGACAAGGAAGGGCAGGGGATGCTGGGGAAGAGAGAGCAGAGCCGAATGGAGAGAGTATGATGTTGTCATCAGAGACCCAGGGGCCCCAGACCTCAGTTCTGTCCTGATAATGTGGGTGGGATCTGGTGAGATGACTGTGTAAACCACGAGTTGAAACCTGTGGAATAGCTGACGTTTGAGCTGCAGCAAAGTGCCGCTTCCTTGACTCGCCCTTGAACTTAGAGCTCAGCCTGCTGCATACAGTAAGTGCTCAATACGCAAGGATTCATTATAGATGCGTGTGGTGCTAGTGTTGAGAGCGCCGTGAGGAGGAGAGACCTGGGCCTGGCAAAGCTTGGTCTCTGAGATTCTGTGGTTGGTACAAGTGACAAGGAGCTGGATCAGACTCACAAGCCAAAGGGCCAGAGGCCACGTAGAGGCCAGGGAGGCCTGAAGCAGCCGGGGGCCATGGGAGACTGGGGAGGAGGGCATGGACGGTTGGGGTGCAGGGTAGGCCCCAGGCTGGAGGCAACCTGGGGCCAAGGCTGACCAGAGTGGGCGCAGAGGAGACTCGGGGGTCAGGGGAGATGTAGACCTGCGTTGCCTGCACTCTGTCAGAACAGCAAATCCTCCCTCGAGCCCACCTTTGCTGCACACAGAAATCACAGCTCTCCATTGCAGGAGTTGTGGATTTTCGTTTTCATTTTTTTAAAATATTAATTTAAATGAAAGTTTACAGAGACAGAGTTTCCAGTCATTCATTGTTGCACTTTTCTCCCTGCCCACCCTTTCCCCCCAATTCACTCTCTGAAAAGTAAAAGAAAAACTCTTTCATTGTTGTACAATCTCTTCCTCAAATCCATTCCACTATGCAGCCTTTATTCTGGACTCCTGTCATGATAATAATACCCAATCATATATCCCTTTTAAACAGTTCTCTCCCTCATCTGTTTCAATGCAGTATACATCATTCCTCCCCTCCTTTTCTGCCTTCCCTCAATCCTGATGTCAGTCCTGTTTTACAATAGTGGCACTATGCAATATTTGTCTTTTTGTGACTGAGATATTTCACTCAGCATAATGTCCTCTAGGGTCACCCATTTTTCATAATATTTCATGAGTTCCTTGTTTTTCAATGCAGCGTAGTATTCCATTGTGTGAATATACCACAGCTTCTCTATCCATTCGTTGATGGGAAGTTGGGTTATTACCAAATCTTTGCTATTGCGAACAAAGCTGCAATAAACATGGCTGTGCGTATATCTGCTTGGGTGGCAGTTACGGTGGAGTTTTGGATTTTTATACAGAATTGTCTGATTTTCAAAGGTTGACGATTTGAGAACATTCATTTCAAACGCTGATGCACCACGCAAACCTGTCTTCTCGTGGTTTGAGCCGTAGGTTGCCAGCTCCCATGTGTGAGGGGCCCTGGGCGCTGGCCTGGCCAGCTGCGTCCCGACGGCTCCCGTGCTGCTCTGGTATGCGTAGGGAGGGGGGTGCTGTGGCCGCGGTCAGCTGGCCAGCAACAGCCAGCTTAGGTTTATGGCTCGGATGCTACTTGTTCTGTCATCAGGCCTGACGCAACGTCTCTCCCACAGCCTGCCACCGTCTCCGACGAGGCCCCCAGCTCCGAGCGCGGCGTGGTGTTTGTGATAAACTTCTCTCCCACCCTCAGAGAGATCATTAACGAAACCAAGTACTTGGAGCAGCTGGGCTTCGTGGTCCCCGAGCTCGCCAGGAACGTGGCTCTGCAGGAGGACAAGTTCCTTAGGTACGAGGCAGCGGCTTCCGGTCCCGGCTCATGTCTGTCCAACAGTGTTGGAGGACCCTCCGCCCCAAAGCGATTGATGACAGCTGTTGCTGTTTAAGGAGCGCTGCTGTTGGGGGGGCTCACTGAAAGGTTGACGGTTTGAAACCCACTAGCCACTGTTTGGGAGAAAGATGGGTATTCTCTTGTCCCATCTACAACCTTGGAAACCCAGTGAGGTCACCGTTGGAACTGATTCAATGTTCATGGCTTAGGGGTGATGTTAAGGAGCTCTGGTGTTGGACTCACCAGAAGTTTGGTAGTTCGAGGCTTCTATGAATAGCTGCTTCTTAGGAACAAGATGGGTCGTTTCTTTCCTTAAAGATTGACGGACTTGAAAACCCCAGGGAATGTCACTGTGGACTGGGGCCAACTTAATGGCCGTGGGTCTTGTGTTCGCTTTTTTTATCTTGCTATTTACCATTGGCTGTACAGAGGTAGCTCGTGGTTGCTGTGATGCTGAACACTGTGACATTAATATGTCAAATGCGATGACGGTTACCCATGGTGGACAGTGTTTGGTGGAGCTCCCCGATTAAAACAGGCTTGGAAGCAGGAGTGGCATCTGCTTCCGAAATGCTTGCCTTCAGAAACCCTATGAACTTGGAGAAACGATGAAAATTATACAAACTGTTCAGGTCTTTCATTCGTAGGGTCGCTATGAGTCGTGTCTATGACTTGATGGCACTTAACAGCAACACCACATTTACCGTGATAGAAATAAAATCTTTGAACTATTTGAAATATGTTTTAATCAGTTTTAAAATATGTATCAGACTAGGTGCATGAGATGGCTCTGGGGGTAGGAAAGATAAAGCACAATGAGGTTTTGATGAGACATGGGTTGATTAAAAACAAACACCCAAATAGCCCTAAGCCTCTTGTGATTTCATAGAGTCTTTTCATTTAAGAAAAGTAGAAAGAGAGGAAATGAGCGAGAGGAGTGGCCTCGCTTGAGATGTCTGCAAATCTTGGGGTCCCCCTGTTAGCCGGCCGGGGGCTTTGCCTGGGCCTGACTGTCCGCTTCTGTCCCCGGCCCCCGTGTGACTCGCAGGTACACAGATGGGATCCAGCGCGTGCTGGACCACTACCACAAACTCCTGGGAACTCTGAACGAGGCCGAGTCTGTCCTTCTGGAGGATCATTCCCAGGAACTGGTCCGCGTGTTCAGGTCTGGATACAAGCGGCTGAACTGGAACTCCCTCGGTACGTGCCCCGTCTGCCTGTTACCTTCCGCACTGGGCGACACCAGAAGAATCCTCACAGGTGGTTTCAGTGGGGCTGAAATTGGTATGCGTGTGCGAAGTGTGTGTAGATGTGGCGACCCACTGCCTCTCAAGGGTCTCTAAAGCCAATTTTGTAGACCTTGGAATTAAACCCAAGACTTTAGCTGGGCCTTGTCTCTATGGAGCACTGGAGGCACCTGAAAGTTCAGAGGTTCAAATCCACCAGGTCCTCCTTGGGAGAAGGATGGGCAGTCCACTCCCGTGAAGATTCCCAGGCCCAGGACCCCAGTGCGGCCACCATGACCTGGACTAGATTGGAAGGCAGTGGGAGGAGGGGCCTCTGTTACCTTGAGCTGCTATGTCCAAGGTGGTGCAGGTGATGATGTCTGTAAGGGAGTATTTCATGGGTCAGGAGGCTAGCAGGCTGGACACAGGGTACTTGTGCTCGAGGAAGGCTTTCTACCTCTCCTGGGTGCGGGGAAGACTTTTGTCTCTTTGACTTCTGTTCCCTTGTTCTCTGGTGTTCTTCATGGGATGGGTATCTTCCTTTCCTTTTGTGTCATCTCTAAAGACATTGCCCCAGCAATAGTAGCAAAGTTCAGCAGAGCAGCAAACAAAAAATGTTGGCGTGGTAGTGGAGAGATGGGAACCCTTATTCACTGCTGGTGGGAGTGTAAAGTGGTGTAACCACAATGGAAGGCAGTCTGATGTTTTATCAAAAAGTTGGAAATAGAAATACCATTTGACCCAGCAATTCCACTCCCGGGAATAAACCCTAAAGAAACCAGAGCCATCACCCAAATAGATGTATGCACACCCATGTTTATTGTTGTGTTATTCACAATCGTAAGTGCCCATCAACTAAAGAATGACAAGAAAAACAGATAGATAGATTCACAAAATGGAATACTATGCAGCACTGAAAAACAATGAACTCATAAAATATTACACAACATTTGTGACCCTGGAGGATATTAAACTGAGTGAAATATCTCACAAAAGAATAAATACTGTATAGCACTACTGTTATAAAGCCAGACTGACATGGAAAACTTTTTTTGGGAGGACTAAGAAAAGAGTGGGTAATGAACACTGCATTGAAACAGAGATGAGGGAAAGAACTATTTAGAAGGACTATATGATTAGGGATTATGTATATAGCAATAGTCCAGAATAAGAGGTGCATTACACAGTGGACTGGGAGGAGGAGGAAGAAAATTTTGCAACAGTGAATGAATATATTTTTTTAAAATAATTTTTGTAGTTATTGTTGTATACCATCAATTCAGATCTGACTGGCACAGGAGGAGACTGCCCCTCCTTCTTCAGTGAAGCATCTGGTGGATTCAATCCGTGTACCTTTGGGATTGTAGCATAGCTTCTTGCCACTAGGCCACCAGAGCTCCCTATGAATTTTTTTTAAGCAAACTAGGGTGCAGCAATGAATGAATGGAAATCCAAAATCTCTGTAAATGTTCATTAAAATAAAAAAAAAATAAAATAAAATTTAAGAAAAACAAAAAAAAAATAGAAGCAAACTAGGGAGATGGAGGGAGGAAAATGCAACAATAAACGAATGAAAATTCTTCTGTAAACTTTCATTAAAATCACAATTAAATTTTTTTTTTAAAAGAGGACTTTGACAGAAGGTGTATCCCAGGCTAATCCTGCCTCATTAACACAACAAAGAGTGGCCATTCCCACATGTGATTACACCCAGAAGTTAGGATTAACCACACATCACGTATTTTAGGGGGAACACAATTCAGTCTCTAACAGAGGGATGTGCACAGAGTTGAAAACCACGTGTGTGTCTGTCTTTTTCTCCAAAGGCATCGCTGACTACATAAATCGGTGCAAACAGGCCATCGGGAAATTCGAGTCCCTTGTCCAGAAGATTCACAAGAATGCGGATGACATTTCCTCCAGGCTCTCCTTGATAGAGTCCATAAATCTCTTCAAATACCCGATCCCCAAGAACGGGGCAGAACTTCCAGGTAGGGCTGACCTCCGTCCCACAGACAGGGGACTGAACACGATGTGCCCTTGGCCATGATCCCCGGGGTGGACCAACAAAACCCTCAGAGACAAAGATGGTGACATTGGAGCCCACGGACTCTGGGCACGTTGCCTTAGAAAAAGGCATCACACTGGGAAAAGCTGAGGGAGAATAAGACCCTGAACAAACAGGTTGACAGGGTGACTATAACACTGGACCCCAGCTTGCCACGGACGCAGAGGATGGTGAAGGACGGGGCCAGGCTCACCTCTGTTATTCGCGGGTTCTGCGAATTGGACCCGCCTCGATGGCACCTGACAGCCACCACCACCTCCACCAGCTCGTAGGACTTCCGTAGTTTCCATGAGAAAAGTGTGGTGGCTCTGCTTCTGCTCCTTCTCTTTCTATCGCATGCTGCATCCGTTATGCTGGTGCAGGAGGCCCTGGCCCCACAAGCACATCTGGTTTCACCGCACTCTGCTTCCTTGTATTTTGCGATTTCAGCATTGTTTACAGATTGAAGTTTTCTCGGCGCTGTCTTCCCAGCAGCATGTGCTCGGTCCGCATCTCCAGGTCCTGCTTTATTCACTCTGACAGTGTTCCAGACTCTGTTTAAAACCACACTGCTGCATACTTCACGCACGGGGAGGGCAGCAGCATTTTATCTGCCTTGGGGAAGCAAAACACTAGTGCGAGTGGCTCGAGGTCCGTGGTCTGGAATGGACTCCGCGAGGGCCGTCTGCGGGCACCCGTGCTCCTTTTGCTAAGCACGTTGTGACATTAATGTGAATTGTGTTTTTGTGGGGGTTCATGAATTTGGAGGTGTCTTGGACATGTTCACAGGAATGTGAGACTGACGAGTCAGGCCGTCCAAAAATGCAAAAAAAACGCCCACATCCGTTTGCGTTCTTGAAGCGTGATGATGAACAGGGCTGTCTTTATTTGTTTGTTCAGGGTTTGTCTTTTCTTGGGAATCTGTAGCTGGTGTGAAAGGTAAGTGCATGCAGCTGCCACCTGGAGGTTGGAGGCCAGAGTCCCCAGAGGAGGCCTGGTTCTATGTCAGAGCTTGGGTTCAATGATGCCTCATTGTCGTCTGTCCCTCATGTAGCGTGCAGATCAGTCCTGCTGCCCTCAGAGTGCCTGTGAGCTGAGCCTCTGTCCTCTCCTGAACCCACCAGTTGCGTCGATGGCATGTCTCCCTCTGCAGGGGTGAAGGAGTTCTTTGAGCACATTGAACAAGAAAGGGCCAAGGATCTGGACCACATGGCCAGGTGGTATCTTGCCATTGGACCTCTGCTGACCAAAGTCGAGGGTCTGGTCGTCCACACCAACACAGGCAAGGCCCCCACACTGGCCTCCTACTATGAATTCTGGGAAAACAGAATTTACGAAGTCCTGACAAAGCTCATCCTGAAGTAAGTGCATCTTCTGGCTACGTGGTTTGTTGTTGATGTGTTTTATTTTTTATATTTTTTTAAATTGAGATTTTAATGAAAGTTTATAGAGAACTTGGATTTCCATTCATTCATTTTTATACATTTTCCACTCAGCTCCCCTCCCCCTAGTTCGCTTTTTTGGGGAAAAAA